TAACATGAAACTAAAAAGTGAAAAATAAATATAGTTTAAAAAAACTAAAAAACACGCTTTTAAAGCACATGGAACTAAAAAGTTAAAAATAATTTTTAAAATTAACTTAAAACAATAATGAACGAAAAATACTAGTATTATTGTTTTAAGTTAANAGTTTCATGTTATCATAGTAGTTGCTATCAATATCATGGTTGAAATGAGTAACGGGAAATCAGGGTTTGATTCCGGAGAGGGAGTCTGAGAAACGGCTACCACATCCAAGGAAAGTAGCAGGCGCGCAAATTACCCACTCCCGGAACGTGGAGGTAGTGACGAAAAATGACGATACGGGAATCATCCCCCGTAATCGGAATGAATACACTTTATATCTCTTAATGAGAATAAAGCGTGTTAATATATAAATTTTAATAGTAATTAGAATATATATAATATATATATTATATATACATGTAAAGCGACTTAAGTGCGTAAACGTATCATGCACTAGGTATAGCCTTGTTTTGTGGGCAGGGGGAACGTTATACCTAAGGTATAAACGACGGCAGCGTCGATAGGAGTATATAAATATATACAAAATAAAAATTTGTTTATATATATATATAATTAATGTCACGCACTCGTGTGTGCGAAAACCAAAAATATAAAATTATACAGAATTAGTTTTGCCGGCGATTGGTGAGTGGGGTGGGGTGAATACGTTACGATGTCTAGTCTAAACGACGGGATACGCAAAAATAATAACACGTGCCGCGTGGAAAGTTACAAACACACATCACACATACAAGTGAAACTAATATAAGCGTGTTAATAAACCCGTTTCCTTACTTACTGAATACTGTATACCTATAAAGACTACGTATAGTCTTTGAATATACAGTGAAGTGATCTTGGTGATACCTTATGGTATGCATCGTTCGAATATCGCCTATTATTTACTGTACGTCGTCAACCAACTACTCTATTGGAAACTGATTAATTAATTCGATCTTGTGCATTATTCTTGTTTATTAGTGAGAATAAATGACTTTACGTCAATTTTCAATCATGAAATATTGCGTCACTTACATTTATTCTTTATCAGTTTTACATAGCGTTTCTTATCAATATATTATAATACTAATAAATTACAGTGGCAGTCCACTGATTTTGCTATGGGAAGAGATGAAAAACTTTTTAAGATTAAAATGTTTTCCAAATTGGCTTAAATGCATTTTACCACTCCATCGAGTTTTTTCAAATTTTTTTTTTTTTAATTGATTCAGTTTTTTATACTAACTAAGAATATATAAAAAAAATTTGTCGGCAAAGTCCAGTTTAAAAGTTATGAGCTTTCAAAGTTTTCAACCATCATTGACAAATTTTGTTATATACTTCTGTTCTTTTTGTTTTTTGCATTAATTCATTAGAAAAAGTATTCTCGATGATTTAGTAATCGAATTTTATTTATTTAATTATACTAAAAAAAATATTTATATGTGTTTAACTTAAATAAAAAAATTTACGACGCGCCGCTCAATTCAAATTGTTGCTGAAATGGTATTGCTGATACTTATTATACAGACAGTATCAGTTTCAATTCTAACTATTTATACATTTTTTTGCATTATTTATATTATGATAATACGTTTTTATATTTGACCGTTGGTAACAAAGATCATGATGCACTGTTTCTATAACATTGAAAAATAAACGATATAATCTATAGTCTAATCTTAGTAGTTTACCAATAGATTACAGCTTAATTCTTTTTCTATTTAAGTTATTTTTTCTCACTATGAACCGATGGATGTATGATGGAAATTTGTACAAATGTCATTGTGGTTTAAGTGTAAATATTCGGGATAAACCTAATAGTTATTTAGAATCGAGTAACACGCAATTTGTCGTGTGTCGTAAAGATTATACTGATCCAACGCGTTGTCGCTACTTTAAATACATGGCTGAAGATTATCGCAACTGTAATTGTCATACCCAAGCATCATTATGCATTACTAGTTCAGGAAATAATAAGGACAGACCGTATTACTGCTGTGCAAAATCGCGCACGAACACACAAAAGTGCAATTATTTTAAATGGTATCAAGATGAATACTGAAATTTCAATATCTAATATAATAGTATTTTTTTTTTTTTTTCAACAAGTGTTAATTGATATACATAATATACAGTATAAACTTTTATTTTATTGAATTAACAATTCTAAGTAAAACACCACATCGTGGTCTTTTTTTTTGCTCAACTTGAATTAATTGAGTTTCTTGTTATTACATAATCACTTATAAAAAATTTTATGAAAACCCCATTTTTATTTCGTATTGCGTAATTTTGATGTGCGTAGTTTTGAAAAAAAAAATTTGGAAAATCCTTATTTTTAAAGTTAATTTTGGATTTAGGATTTTTAGAATGAGGATATTATATAATAATTACGTCATTATAGTATCACAATAGTATCATGAGAAAAAATTCCAAAAATTAAAAAAAAACAATTTTTGAGCTATTTTTAGTTTTTGACGTTTCAACTTTAAAAAGCTATAACTTTTGAACCAATTTTTTCCGACAATTTTTTCAAACATTTTTGAAAAAAGCATTGAAAAACACACGTTTTAAAAAAAAAAAAATTGAAAAAACTCGATGGGGTGGTAAAATGCATTTGTTCCTCCAAATTAACTAAGTTCAATAATTTTTAAATTAAATATCTTATATAAAGTTTCCACATATAACACGTATAATGAAAATTGTAAAAAAAAATGGTATGTTATTTAAAAGATATACAGGGTGGCCCATCACTCACTGACAACTTAAATAACTTTTGATCCAGTTAATATTTTTAGTTGATTTTTTTTTTAAATAATAGTTATACGTTAGGTCTATAGCTATATCTCAATAATTAATTTTTTTACATTTTATTAAAAATATTAATTATTTTTAAATTTTAAATAAAATGTAAAAAAAAAATCTAAGATAGCTATTTTGTAGAGTAGAATTTAAGAAAAATTTTAGTAAAAAAATATCTTATTAATATTCAGTAGTAAATATTCTGTAGCGTTTTGAAGTTTGTNATTAATATTCAGTAGTAAATATTCTGTAGCGTTTTAAAGTTTGTAAAAATTTGAATTTTAATGTACTATTTTACGGTATTAAACATTGAAATACGTATTGAGAAAAGGACAGAAGAAATCGCTATCTTTTCATGATTACTATGTATACATATGATGATAATGTGTATAAATTACAAACTTGGCATTAATACCATGATAAGAAATTAGATAAGGCAATTATTACTTATCACTCTCATTCAAAAGTATATTGAAAAGATAGCGTTTTCTTCTGTCCTTTTCTCAATACGTATATCAATGTTTAATACCGTAAAATAATACATGAAAATTCAAATTTTCACAAACTTCAAAACGCTACAGAATATTTACTATTGAATATTAATAAGATATTTTTTTACTAAAATTCTTCTTAAATTCTACTCTACAAAATTATTTAAAAAAAAAATCAACTAAAAATATTAACTGGATCAAAAATTATTTAAGTTGTCAGTGAGTGGTGGGCCACCCTGTATAATAGCGACTAGCTCGGCATCGTTGAAATTCATGACTATCATCTTTTACGAATATCACAAAAACTGGATTATAATTAATCCTCACAGTATTCTCAATTTACCTTAAATTTGACGCCAAAAATAAAACCGCTCGCGTGTGAATATTAGACATGACGCAGTTTTCTAGACCGCTTCATATATAACTAGCTTAATAAATTAAATCACATTCAATAAATGAATTTATTGCAAGAATCATGATATACTCTCAAAAAATAGTATAAAATTAACAAATAAAAATTATTTTATATTTTATCTACAGAGTAAAATCGAGTGATAAAATTGATCAAATATTAATATATACACTCATATAATGATAATCTTTAGTAAAAAATATTACATTAAATACCATTTTTCAATTGGGATCTAAACAGCAACGAACAATAGTTCATTATTTGATCAATAAAATTTACTCAAATAATCAAATTTAATACTTAAAAAGTATTTTGTTTTAATAATCAAAAATAATGAATGCTGGATAAGTATTATAAATAACTTTGAAGGCATTAAAAATTTTTTTTCCTTTGCTATTGTTTTATTTTACTATTTTGTAAATTGAAAATAGTTATTTGGTTGTCAATAGATATAATTAGTTTAATTTTAACAAAAACTTTTCCGATTTGTATTATTTTCTGAATAAATAAAAACTTTCTTGAAGTCCTATTGATTAATAATATAAAACCAAGTATTTATATTTAAAATTCGATTAAAACTAATTTTCACCATTTAAGCTGTAAAAAATCTCTTTCAATGTTGACTATTTTAATTAAACATGCTTTAAATATAGGTAGTCTATGTTTTGTGCGTACTGTATCAACTATAAGTTTTGATATTTTTCCATACAAACAACCAGATTTTTCCAAAAAAACAATTCAATTACCTAGAGCCAAGTAAATTTTTGGAAAAAACTTAATATTTCCATAACTTATATTTCATTATTATCAATTAAAATTATTTTTAAATGTTAAATTTTTTAACTTTTTATGTAAGTTTTTTAATGTCCCCTTGATTTTGTTTTATTTTATTTTATAGACTGGGTGACATAAAATTGTAAAAAAAAAGTTGATATTATTAATTCTATGAAATCAAATATATTCATTGTTAAAATTAAGTTTTCAATGTATTATCATAAATATTTTTCGGTAATATATAATCAGTTTTAAAGTATTTTTATTAATTTTGATCAAAAAATTAAAAATTTGAATGCTTCTTTACCTTGAAAGTCTGTATTAAGTCTGTATATGTTATTTACCAAATATTATGAAATAAATCAGAAATATTTTTAAAAATAAAAGTTATTTTATCATCATAGTTATTTTTATTAAGTGAACTAATTATACTGTATTCACAAATTTATTTTATTAAAATAGTATCATTTCTCATAAATTAATAGATACGGTGGAAGAAATACAGTAACTATGTTACCAGGTGGAGGAATCGGACCGGAATTGATGAGTTTTGTAAAAGAAGTTTTTATGTTTGGAGGCGTACCAATTAACTTTGAGACTATTCAAATTTACCCGTCAAGTAGGGACGATGATTTGCAAAATGCAATCACTTCTATACGAAGAAATGGTGTAGCAATTAAAGGAAATCTTATTGATAATTTTAATAATGAGATATCACATAATGTTGCTATACGCAATGAACTTGATTTGTTTGTTAATGTTTTGCACATGTATTCATACAAAAATGTACCTAGTAAACATCAAAATATCGATATAATTGTTGTTCGACAAAATATAGAAGGAGAATATACTATGTTGGAACATGAGGTTGTAGAAGGGGTAGTTGAATATTTGAAAGTTATTACTAAAGAAAATTCTAGACGTTTAGCGCGTTATGCATTTGAATTGGCATTGAATAATGGTCGCAAAAAAGTAACTTCAGTACATAAAGCTAATATAATGAAATTATCAGATGGTCTTTTTTTGAAAATATGTTTCGAAATGGCTAAAGAATATCCAGACTTACAATTTGAACAAATAATTGTAGATAATTGTTGTATGCAATTAGTATCTAACCCACATCAGTTTGACGTTATGGTTATGCCTAATCTTTATGGTACAATTATAACTAATATCATATGTGGACTAGTGGGAGGTGTTGGTTTAATATCTGGTCGTAACTACGGTGAAAATTATGCTGTTTTTGAACCAGGAACAAGAAATACCGGTACAGATATTGTAGGATCTAATATTGCTAACCCTGTAGCTATGCTGAATGCATCAGCAGATATGCTAGAACATTTAGGGCTTAATTTTCATTGTGACATGATAAGAACTGCAATTACTAAAACTCTTAGTGAAGACTTAGTGCACACAATGGATCTATGTGGTAAGGCATCTACAACAGACGTTGTTGGAAATATAATAAAACATGTAAAACACTTTGCCAAGATGTAGTTTAGATAAGTTATAATAATTGTATTTTATATTTTGTGATCTTATATAAATAAGTTAAAAACGTTAAATTTTTCAAATTCACTTAAAAAATTAAACAAAATATATTTATTTAATATAATATTATTTAACATATGTTTTATACCATTAACATTTTTTAAATTATTTAAAGTGTTTTAATTCCTAAAATTTCGATTATTATATTTAACTAAAAAGTTAATAATAATTATATATTACACTTATAGAAAAAAATATTGTATTCTTTACATTGCTAATGGATTTGTTACAAATTTAACATCATTTATGGAATAATCTTGTTAACTCTATTATAAAAAATTCTCTTTGACTTAGAAGTTATAACTAATTTATCTACTTTTAGTTCTATTGATATCTTTGAGTACTACGTTATTATAACTTTACTTTTATCATTTCAAAGATAAGACGTTCAAATAAATATTAAGTATATTATTGAAAGATACTTGACATATTAATAAACTCAACAAAACAATTAGTCATAGATTTGGTAGTTTAGAAATAAGTCCACAGTAAATGCTTATAATTATTTCTAAATACTATTATTCTGTTTCACAATGAAAATTTTTATACTGATCGAGTTTCTTTGCTGTTGCGTATTGGCTAAAGATGACATGGATATTTTTCACTTACCTACTAGCACAATTCCATTGTTTTATGATCTGCAATTTTTAAACGTGTTAAGTGATAATTTCACTTATAGTGGCACAACAAAAATTAAGATACAAGCTCAACAAACCACATCTGTGTTAACATTAAATGTTGTTGATCTAGATATAGAGAGCATTAAAATATTTGATATAGAATCAAAAAGGGAAATCGAAGTTAACAATCATGAGTTGGTAGAAAAAAATGAACAGCTAAAAGTGTACTTGAATGAACAGTGGTTAATAACTGGAAGACAATACCAAGTGGAAATTGTTTACAATTCAAAGTTGAGAACTGACATGACGGGTCTATATAGAAGCTCTTACAGAGATGAAGAATATAATAAAACTAGGTGATTAGATGTTATTATTAGTAATTTTTAATCTTAAAAAATATTTAGTATATTAATATAAGAGATATTTTTAAATAAACACATAAAGGACGGCCCAAGAGGTATAAAAGGGTTTTTTTTCGGTTGGGGTGTCAATATATTTTTAGCATTGATAATGGTAACATTGTTACTCAAATACGTATTCGCAATTATTTGTGGCTTTTTGAGTTAAATATTTTTTAATTTTAAATTAATAGTCTTAATAGTTTTAATATTTAATGTATTATACTTATGAAGTTAAACTTGATAGCATTGTGTAAACAGATAAAATATTATTTATATTCCTCCTAAAATAAACTCCTGATAACATGACTGTTTTCTAGAATATGTTTTACTAGAATCTTAATTGTAATTTCAAGTTTAAATTAAGGGGAGCTTATAACAGAACCGGATTGATTTAGCAATTTATCAATAAAATCTTGGTGAGATTCTTTAATTAATGACTATTTTAAAAACGTTATGTCAATTAATTTTCTCATAGAAAATCTTGTACAAAAAGTGGAATAACTAAAAAAAAAATCCCATATTCCTTCTCCTAAAATTATCTTTCGTAGTACATAATTTTGTGAAATGTTTGCTCTCCTTTAAATTTAAACTATTGAATGTTTTATTTTTGACAAACTATTTCAAATATCGAGTAAAAGCTTTTTAAAATAAATGACAAACTTTATACTTAATTTTAAAAAATCAGTACAGTAAGGTTTAAGTATAAAAACCTAGCACAATGGGGTAAAAATTTATAATAATAAAAAAAAAAATGAATTTATTACCATAACTTTTAGCTTAATTTGCAAGTTTGAAATTGACATCATTAAATAGAAAAAATGGTATTGTTAAGAATAATATGCAATCAGGAAATTTTATAATTACTATTTACAGTAATTTTTTTATTTCATCCACTGTTAAATTCAGATGAAACTAAAAATCATTTTTTTTTTTTAAATTTATGATTTATATAGCAACATGTTACGAAAAAATTTGGAATGTTATAGACTAGTAGTAGCACACACAAATAGAATAAAAAAAACCAGCACAGGGGGGTCGCGGCACAGTGGTGACGTGGCATATTTGGATCACGTATAATGATATCTGACAGTGATTATAATCACTATAAAAAAAAAACGCTTCGATGCAAATCTTTAGACAGTGTTTAATTTTAAAAAATTGGTTATTTATTCCAAAAGCTACATGATCTGCTAGTTCCTTATTAATATCCTGATTAAGATAAAGTATGTCAAATGAAAAAGGGATTATTAAAAAATATTATTTTTCATAAAAAAATTATGTTGATCCATACACTTTTCAATAAGTTATAGCATTATAAAGTTAAAAATGTAAAATACAAAATTGAAAATTTTCACACAAAAAAAGCATTCGGTAGCCATTTTCACCGTGAAGATAAAATAAAGTCCAACATTTTTTTTTTCCATAATAAAGTACATTACATTAGCTTTAATTTAATATATATATAGAAGTGTCAGACTTTCAGGAACATTTTCAAAAGTCAAGTTGAAAAAATTAATTTTTTATGAAAAAGTTGTCATTTAAAATCCCCTTCTGTGGGCATGTAAAAAGGGTCAGATATAAAAAAAATATATACCAAATGAAAGGTAATGATATCACGCATCTAAATGGGGGTTACGGGGAACAAGGGAATTTTTTTCAATTTTTGAGGGTAATGTCTTCGACTAAATACGATTTGTGATCTTTTGACGTATCATTGAAAGAAATCGGTTCAGTGAGAGCTGAGAAAAAGTGGTAACAGACACAAAAAAAAAAACACATCATGGTAAAATTAATACCTTCTCAGCTTCGTATCGAAACTAAAATTATTTGAAAATTGTATGTCGTTAAGTAATTTTACCAGCATTGGCTAATTTTTCAATCTTTTATGATATTATTTTAAAATAAGAAATTATTAAAACTATTTAAATTATAAAATCCACAAAAAAATTACTTTTATGTCATTGTGTTAATAATGGTTATAATAATAATAACAGCCCAACTATTGTTCCCAAAATAAGTATACACGATTTTTTAGTAATTCTTTTTGGTGTTGTAGGTTAAATATTTTTAAATTTTAAATTATATTAGTCACAAGTGATCAATTTTCATTATTTTAACAAAGTCAACTTTTGAGGCTTAAAAAATCGTGTTAATTTGAAAATATTGGTGGACTATTACAACTAAAATACAAAAATACTATTTTTTTTAAATTAAAATATAAAAAATTATATGATTTATTTTTGATTATGTATCAGAGCAGATTATAAGATACATCTATATGTTACACCTATCCATAAAGTAGTTTCTACTTCAAAAATTCTGTATTAGTAAATATCTAAGATTAGTAATCTAGCTATTACTCAATATTTCTAATTTTAAGCAATTTGATTTTATATTTTAATTATAGTGGTGTAAAACACTAACTATTAAATACATATATACATATAGTATAATTTATATGGCTCCAAATTAAAATCTGCTTAAGTGTATAGATTATATAGTTTTCCATTTTACTATAGGTTCAATTTGTGAGCTAGAATAAAAAAATGTTTTTAGCATTTCTTATACTAAATATTAATTTAGGTGCAAAAATTATTAAGAACTTCTATATTTTGTAGCTCAAAAAAATGGTTTATATATTATTTTTGCCACCGATTAAAGTGCACTATAAATAAATAGTATTATTTTACTAATTTTAGATGGTTAGCTGTAAGCCATTTTAAACCTACACACGCAAGAAAAGCATTTCCATGCTATGACGAACCAATATACAAAACACCATTTCATATTACTATTATAAGAAAAGATACACAAATATCTTTATCAAATTATCCAATAAATAAAAGCTGGGCATCGTATGTAATATTATATATATTAAACAATAACTTAATATATATTGTTAGTGATAATAAACTAAGGTAATTTTTTTTTTTTTTTTAAATTAATGTATACTATTTTAGCCCTATCGGTAACTTAATATATGATGATTATAAAGTAAGTGAACCACTACCAACCTATTTAGTAGCAATATCAGTTTCTGAATTTGTTACAAAACCGTCAGACGAAAAACGAATTCACGTATACACGCACAAGGAATATATAAACCAAACGGATTATATTCGACAAAGAGCAGCAGAATTACTCCACTTAATGGAACTTTTCACAACTATACCTTACTCTGTAGAAAAAATGGATTTCCTCGCTGTACCTAATTTTGTAGCAGGCGCTATTTTTGGTGAAAATTGGGGATTAAATACATATCAGTAAGTATAAATTGTATTTCAATTTATAAGGGGTATTAGGGAAAAAATACAAATTAGAAAATACCTGCGTATAATTGTATAATTAATATTTTATACAGGAGGGTCGAGCACAAGAAAATTTTAAAAGTATTACTTTAACACCTATTAATTATTAATTAACCCATTTTTATAACAAAAGTTATAGTTACAAAATGTACAACAGTTTATGTTATCTTACTCCATATTTGGGGAAGATAATAAAATTGGCAATTTGCAGAAAAAATTTCAGCCTTTAGAAGATTAATAAGATAATTAAAAAAATTGTTTAATGTTAGACTAGATTGAAATAGTTATCATTCAAATTTAAAATTTTGATTTCAATAACAGAAGTTGTAGAAACTTAACCTCACCATCATAACCCACCTTACTTTTGCAATTAATACGTAATATTAAAAAATATTTTATAACACCAAAAAGTATCATCAAAATATAAATGCATTTAAAACTAAATTGTTCAATCCTAAGTTCTGTATTCAAAAGAAACGATAAAAGAAAATGCATGATAGAAATATTTTTGGAATATAAAAGATAGAGTGTATAAAACAAGCAATACAGAAAAGTTAGTTAAAGAAACTTTATTAATCACAAACTAAATCAATAAACCTCAAATTTTCGCTTACAACTTTAACTTAAACCATAGTTACGATAAAATGCATGGAATCAAGAACAAGAGAGATTAAAAAAACAAAAAATTCTTAATTTAGGAGAACTGTCGTTTTTTCTTAGATTTACTTCGTTTTTAAATATGTTCAAAACTACTATTTTATCTACTTCAATGTCAATTTTTATAACTGTTTAAAAATTTCAGAGAAAAATATTTATTGATATCAGAAAATTCAACCGAAAAAAGTAAGGAACTTGTTACCACAACAGTTCAACATAAATTGGCACATCAGTGGTTTGGAAATATTGTTACTTGTTCTTGGTGGGATTATGTGTGGTTACACGAATCTTTTGCAACATTTTTCCAATATTTTGCAGTTAAAATTGTAAAATACAATTTTTTTAATAAAATTATTTAAGTTATCGTAATGAGAAAAAACTTGATAAGCTTAATTATAAGACAATTTGTCTTTTTTAAATAAATATTGATGAAAAACTTAGATAATTGTAAATTATTTTCCCTAATTAAAATAGTTATTTTTTCGAAGAAATTTAAGAGCATAATATCAATTTTTGTATACATTCTACAGTATACTATAATATCTATAGTTATTTAAAAGTAAAATTTGTTTTTAATTTAGACTTAGCAAGTTTTCTCGATACCATCTATATGTAACTAATTAAAATTTATGCAGACTATATTTTTAGGTAGAGCCCGAATGGCGAATGGAAGATTTATTTGTTGTTGAACAGCATCAGATAGCATTATCATACGATCAAGTATCTAGACATTCGATGACAGTTCATGTTAAATCTCCTGATGAAATCACGGATATATTTGATGAAATTGTCTACGAGAAAGGAGCTTCTATATTGAGAATGCTTAAACATATAATAACTGATCACCTATTTAGGCAGTCATTAATATTATATTTGAATACTAACAAGTAAGTTTCTATGAAATTAATAAGTTATTTTTAATTTATAATTATTTCCATTTAATTTTGAAATTCATAAATGGACGTGTTTAAGAATGCTTAAGAAAGGTAAGAAGCCTAAAAAATGATAGAGTAATCAGGAACAAGTTTACTCAGTTCAATTTTAATTGGATAAAAATTTTATTGTAACATGTTAATTATCATATTATCAACTTTTAAGATAAAATTTCAGTTACCTAGGAACTATGATTATTTTTCATATATTTGGATTTGTATTTAACATCTGTATTTAACTGGTTTGTAAATATAGGTTATAGTAATATATATATTAACATATATATTAATAGGAAAATTATGGCGGTTAAAAAATTTGAATCAATAATTCTGAGAGTAGACAATTTCTAGATTTGAGACTACTATAGAATGAGTTCTCCCCAGGGGAGCACTAATCTAGTGTGACGGGTATGACGATCTCGGGTCCTCGAACTCCTTCTACTCTGACCTTAATTGGTTGGAGTAGACTGGTCCACCAAATTGGGGGTTGAGGGCTAACGACCCTACTTTTTAAAAAATAAACATACGTTCTCAAACACCAAGCCTCGGACAAGACTTAACAGAAAAATGACTGGAAATTGGAAACTGGAAATCGGAACTATTGTGTGGTACTTGGAACGTAAGGACCTTGTACAAAGAGGCAGCGACTGTTAATTTAGAAAGTTGAAAAATACAAGATAAAATGTTTGGCGCTTCGGGAAATGAGATGCCAAGATGCCGGCATAAGAAAGTTGTCTCAAACGACTATTTTTAATAACAATGTGAATAAACTCACAGACTAGGAATGGACTTTGCGGTACATGAAACAATCATTCATACAGTAAAAGATTTTAGAAATGTTAACGCAAGAATATTTACAAGGACGCTAAAAACAGAAAATTTTGATTTGGTTTTAATTAATGTAAATGCTTAACGAAGATAAAGATGAAATAGAAAAAGAGCTCTTCTACGCAACACTTAAGAATTTGTTTAATACTTTGGTGGGCCAGGTCAAACTGATTCTGGGAGATTTTAACACAAAAGTAAGTAGGGAGTGTAGCGAGGTGTAATATATAGAAGTAATAAACACTTTTACGATTTACAACTATTATACAACTATACTATATTACAACGAACTAACAAATAACAGCGAGAGACGAAGCGCGTCTAAGACAGAATGCGTAAGTGATTGACTGATCGACTGAATGACTGGAGCGACGATCTTGCCCTTAAATAGTCAGAGAAATCTTCTAGAGGCGGCGGCGGAACTCTCTAGAACATTCGACCGCCACACGCTTATGTAGAGCGACGAATCTTCTAGAGGCGGCGGCGGCCGAACGTTCTAGAACATTCGACCGCCACACCACCCCTCTATGGAGTGGAGTTAGCTAGGGTCAAAAATGTCCGGGAATCTGACTCGGCGACCTGAGCGAGTTGTTCGTACTGGCTGCGTTGATGGATCGGTATTAGGCGGTTGTTCTTGTTTGGGCGTATTCGGGGCAGTCGCTGGTGGAGCATGTGCCTGGCTATCGGTTGTGCTTTCGTTCACCATGAGGTAGGCAGGTTTTACTCTATCAATCGTCACCGTAACTGGTTGATTTCGAACTTTTATTGTGAACGTTTTGTCATTTCGGGCAATTACTTCGTAGGGACCTTGATATGGCGGTTGAAGTGCTGCTCGGACACCTCCCTCCCTGAGAAATACGTGTGAACAGTCCTTAAGGTCCGCAAAAACAAATGATCGTGGATTTGAGTGGCGAGATGCAGGTACTGGACGGATTTTATTCATAACACTGCGAAGACGATCTAGTAAGCTAGTAGGGTCGTTCGTACTGCTATTATCTTGATTGTCTGTGAAGAAATCACCAGGAAGATTAAGAGGTTCCCCATAAACAAGTTCCACAGACGTGGTTTTTAAGTCTTCCTTAAACGCAGAACGTATTCCGAGAAGCACGATAGGCAGTGACTCAGTCCACGAGTCTTTTGCGTGGGCCATGATGGCTGCCTTTAGTTGTCGGTGCATTCGTTCGACGAATCCGTTTGCAGCAGGATGCCAACTGGTAGTGGGGCGAAGCGTAAAACCAAAACGTTTTGCTAAAGTTTTTAAAGTAGCTGAAACAAACTGAGTACCACGGTCAGTCGTAACGTATTGAGGTACTCCGAAGCGTGAAATCCAGCAATTGAGGAAACCCTTAGTGACATCGTCTGCTGTTATACGTTCGAGTGGATACACCTCCGGCCAACGGGTGAAACGATCGATTACCGTCAGACAGTACCTGAAGGACTGTGATGGCGGCAATGGACCGATGATATCGACATGAACATGTTTGAATCGGCGTGAAGGTGTTTCAAAGTTTCCCAGTGGGGCTGAGACGTGTCGGCTTATTTTCGATCGCTGACAGTGGACGCAGGCACGTGCCCAGGAACGGCAATCCTTTTTCATTGCTGGCCACACAAATCGTTCTGAAACTAAGTGAGCTGTTGCGCGTGCACCGGGGTGACTAAGGTTGTGTAACTGATCAAATGCGTGACGCCGGAATCGTTGTGGCAAAAATGGTCGTGGGCGTCCTGTTGACGTGTCGCAATAAATATAGATTGAAGATCCTGGCACTAGTACCTTCTCCAAATGAAGAGATGAATTGTTGTCAGAAAAATGTTTGAGTTCATCATCCGTGTCTTGAGATGCAGCAAGAGCTCGGTAGTCCAGCGGGAGAGACACAACTTCAATGCGTGACATTGTATCCGCGACGATATTTTCATCACCTTTAATGTGTTGAATGTCGGTGGTGAATTCGGATATGAATGTCAACTGGTTGAGTTGCGTAGGAGGTATCTTTTCTCTCCGTTGGGTGAAAGCATATACGAGTGGCTTATGATCGGTGAAAATGGTACATGGTTGTGCTTCGACAATGTGCCTGAAATACTTCACCGATTCATAGATGGCAAGCAACTCACGATAATACGCAGGCCACGCACTTTGTTTCACCGACATTTTCTTTGAAAAAAATGCTATGGGTTGCCAGATGTTATTGACTCGCTGCTGCAGACATGCGCCGATAGATTGGCTAGATGCGTCTGTGAATAGTCCAAGTCGTGCGGCTGGATGAGGATGTGCTAAAAGAGTAGCGGTCGCAAGACTTTCTTTGCATGTGGTGAACGCTTTTTCTAACTCGGGAGTCCATTCTATCGGTTGGGAACCTTTTGTCTTCGGGCCTTTGAGAATACCGTGAAGTGGTGCTTGCAGGTCGGCAGCTTTGGGAATAAACCGGCGATAAAAATTTACCATTCCCAAAAACCGGCGTAATCCTTGCATAGATTTTGGCAATGGATACTGTCGTAGGGCTTCGACGCGTTCCGGTGGCGGGCGGGTGCCTTCAGAAGATACTAGGTAACCTAGAAATTTCACCTCAGCCGAACCTAATACACATTTTTGCGGGTTAACGACAACACCGTAGTCAGAAAGTCTCCCGAAAAGAGTGCGTAAATGCTGTTTGTGGTCCTCTTCCGATTTAGAGAATACCAAAATGTCATCAATATATGCATAACAGAAGTCCAACCCATTGGTAACTTCGTCTATGAAGCGTTGAAAAGTTTGTCCAGCATTTCGCAATCCGAATGTCATAAAAGGAAATTCGTAAAGTCCGAATGGAGTGGTAATGGCTGTTTTGCATATATCGTCCGGATTAACAGGTATTTGATGGTAAGCCTTTACCAGATCGATTGTGGAAAATAGCGTGCAATTAGCCAGGTTGTGCGAGAAATCATGTATGTGTCTGACTGGATAGGAGTCTGGTATAGTTCGGGCGTTCAGCGCGCGGTAATCACCGCAAGGACGCCAGCTGTTCTCCCCTTTCGGTGCTAAATGTAATGGTGAAGACCACGGACTGCTTGAAGGTCTAGCGGTACCTGCCTTGACCATTTCCGCGAATTCCTGTTTGGCGATTTTTAGTCTACCTGGAGCTAAGCGGCGTGGGCGGCAGGCTATTGGCTGACCAGGTGTCGTAAGAATGTGGTGCACTGTTTGATGTTTTATTGTCCTGGGCAATCCGGTGGGACGTGTGATGTCCGGAAATTCTGCGAGAAGTGCAGCCCAAGGGGAAGTGTTGGCAACTGATTTTATGCTGCATTGATTTACAGAGGAAACCTTACCATTCACAGCCAAGCCTGTGACACCATCAATAAGACGTTTGGTACGGCAATCCGGCAGCAAGTGGTAGTATGCCATGAAGTCGGAACCAATGATAGGAGTACTCACGTCGGCGACAATAAAACTCCACGGGAAACTGCGTCGAAGTCCTAAATTCAAATTGAGATGGACCGTCCCGTAAGTTTTTATGGTACTGTTGTTGGCCGCGCTGAGGTCGTAATCGGTGGCATGGCGTCGTTCCCGTAGTAGCCGTTGAGGGTAACAAGATAAGTCGGAACCGGAGTCGACTAAAAATTGGCGTTTTGTTATTTGATCTGTAACAAACAGGCGGCTGCTCGGGTTCGGACAGTCTGTTGCCGCCGCTACTGACTGTCGTTGGAGTTTTCCTGATACTTGCAGGGAGCCTTACATTTGGCAGCCTTTTCTCCATAAGTGCTATGATACCAACACCATCCTTTGCCGTTAGTCAGTTCCACGTTTGAACGGTTACGTGACCTAGAGCGGGAACGTTGCGGACGTTTAGCACATAAATCGCTTACCTGTTTTGAGAGTGCTTCAATGGCAGCTAAAACATTGAGTTCCTTTTTATTGTTCGTCGTGGCAAAAGCATGGACGAATTGCGAGGGGGCTGGCTGCACTTCAACAATTTTGTCAGCCAGCTCGGCTACCTTATCCAGAGGAAGCTCTGATTGTGCGGTTAAAATAGCTTGTGCATGTGATGGTAGACGGCGGAGCCAAAGTTGACGTAAAATATTGTCTTGTAATGTAGTAGTGCCGGCAAGGGAACGGAGATGTCGTAAGAACTGTGATGGCTTACGGTCACCTAGTT